ATTATTGAATTGGACGATGTAGTCTGTGATGCGCTGCGTGTCCTTCATACGAAGATTTGTGAGACTATTCTCAGCTTCTCCTGTCAGGTCATACGGGCCGAAGTTGGTTTCAAGCTCCTCAACAAAAGCTTCCCAATTTTCAAGCCAGAGCGGCTCTTCCTCGGTAATCCCGCTAAAAGCCGGTTTGAACCATTTCAACGCGGATCCCAACAAATATGAAAGTGCGTAGTTGACTTTTCGGGAGTCCGTGGAGAATGCAGCGGCACGATCGTGGAAATTGAAGTGACATTGCATGAGGAAAGTAGAGAGTCTGTTTGGGTTGGAACCTGTGAAGGGTTCCGGAGCATTGACTTTTGACCGTGGAGGTTCTTGTTCCTTTCTTTTTCGTTCTTCTAGCAGGTGCATCATGAATTTATCTATAGTACCTGCTAAAAACTCAGAAGTAGGATCCCTCGTGTGCGGTCGTTGAAAAGGCGGAGGATTTTCAGGAGGGATTTCGACACCTTTGCCCTTGTCGGGGGCCACGGAATCGTCCTCGCGCTCGGATTCGTCCAGGTCTTCCGGGATTTCTTCGATGCGGGCTTCTTCCATGGGTTCCGACTGGTTCGCAAGTGTCTGACTGGTATACAGAGTTAACGGGGAATGAAGAGTCGACGGTCCAGGTATTGATGACTGTGCGCGTGTACTTCTTCTTGGTGGCATAATGAAAACAATCTGCGAGTATTAGTCAGAAAATACTGTTAGGATACACACGCAGGGCGGGTTTCCGGAGAAACCCGCGGAATATCCGGTAGGACTTGGCTTCAGCTTATAGGCTGCGCCCTTGCTAGATCGTGTTGTCCAATTTCAGACAGGCGGACAGGAATCCCGGGGAGTCCGGGCGGGGGTTCGTGGGTCGTGAGTCGTAGGTCGTGAGTCGAGAGTCGTGAATTGAGATAGTCGAGAGAGATAGATGCGCCGGAGCCCATGGGCTCCGACTAGTGCGAGCGGTCTGATAAGAGTAGGGTTTTAGAGAGGAAAATGTATTAGATTACTGGGGGGAATCTAAGCTAATTTTCTGACTGGATTGTATGTACAACATCTGCCAGTTTATATAGACCGTGGAATGCATGACATACCGAATCCAGTAATAATGAGACGAAACGAGCAAAACATAAAACGGGAATAGTAAACACCAAATTGGTGTTAGGAACGGGACGGAACGGAGCGGAGTCTGAATCGTGACAAAGCATAACCCATAACGGGAAATGGAGCGGGAGCGGAGTCCTAAATCGTGACAGGTCATTTGACTAAAACGGGAACGGGGCTCGATTAGAGCGGTGACGGGATTCTAAGCAGGTTCCGGTGACTGATGCGTGGGACAAAGACGGACATAGACAGAGACGGAGTCCAGGGGAAGTCCGGTGACTGATATGTGTCTTAATGAGGTCGAACGTAACGAGTCTTGACGTAACGGAGTCCGGGCGGGAAATCCTATAAACAGACGATTGGTGCTTGTAGTGCGTGGGGGTGTACAAGTTAGTGCCCGGAGTCCGGCAGGATTTGTCCGGTCGTAACAATAGTCTTGCTCTAAATATCCCGCTCTCCACTGCTGCTTGTGCTCATGCACTCTTGGTTTCTGACCCTTCAACCCAACCCTCAACTTATCCTTCAGTGTCTGATCGGTGACTTACCAAGAGGATTATTCGACATGACTAGTTTTCTGCCCACCCAAAATTTAAGGATACCCAACAGTAACTTGTGAGGGCACAGCACATAAGCTGAAGCCAAGTCCTTCCATTCAGTCCCCATCGGTCTACCGACATCAGTCAATTTTCTGTTCTTAACAGATGGTCTGCATGCAAGTTCAATAGAAGCTTGGTGATGAAGGGGCCAAGGACCAAATGACCAAAGGTTCACTTGGAGTGGAAGGTGAAGTGGTAGTTTAAGAGTGCTGTCTAGTGGTATTCCAAGTACCAAGAGCAGAACAGAACCAAGTAACTTGAGGTCCCAAGAATGAAGTTGGTGGATACTGGAGAGTGGTTACCTGAGAGGATGTGTGCATGGAGGATGCTGAAATAGCATGAAAGGGGGTAGTAAAATGACTCAAAGTTGGGGAAGTCTTTCAAAAAGGCACATTCTGCCTGTATATATATACCACCCTGAAACTCATAGGAGGGCTTCAGATGCCAATATATGGAAACAGAGAAAGCAGAGAGGATGCACCAGAGCCTGCATTACCTGAGGGAGGCATGAAAGATAAGCCAGTTGAAGATTGGTGTGGGGGCTGGAAAGCATAAGGGGCTTGCAGGGGCAAAACCTGGGATGGAGAGGCCTGTGGCATACTGGGGCCAGAAGATGACCCAATGGATGGAAGGGGAGGGCCAACATATTGTGCTGGTGCTGTTGGAGTACAGTGACTCCAAAAACCCATTTCATACTAACCCCAAATGTGGTGTGCTTCACACACCACCTTACAGCATGGTAATTAGCTTAGCCAGTTGTGAGGTCATGGCCATATTGGCCAATCGGGCTTTTGTGGCCTTCGGGCATGTGGCAACTCAGTGTCTGGGATCTGCACACAACAAACAAAGGTTGTTGTCCATTTGGCATTGCTTTTCCTGTGGTAGGAGCTTGCCACTGGAGCCAAGTTTACCAGTTAGGTCAGGTTTGTCTTTATCTTGAGACTTATTCGACTGTTTGCCCTTGCCTTTTTTGTTGTTAGAACCCTTGTTTTTGGATTTCTTATCAGAGTTCGAGTTGCTACTATTGTTGGTGTTTTGATTACCAGACTTGTTGGCATTCTTATTGTCCGATGATTTTTTGTCCGATGGGTTTTCATGACTGATTTCTGAATGTCATTCCCAGTATCGGGCGTCCATGTTCTGGGCCTTTAGACGTATGAGGGGGAGAGTCTTCAGTTTGCCGGTCTCTCCTTTGGAAACTTCGTCTTTGAGGCGAGATGGGAGGCCAGAGTAAAACTGGTAACGGAGGGCCAAATTGCCTCAGTCGCAATGTGCGGTGAGGTTGTTGAACTGGACGATGTAGTCAGTGATGCGCTGGGTGTCTTTCATTTTGAGATTAGAAAGCATGGATTCGGCATTGCCGGTTTGGTCGTAGGGACCGAAGTTTGTTTCGAGTTCCTCAACAAAGGCATCCCAATCGTGAAGCCAATCGGGATCTTCAGAGGTGAGGCTGGAGAATGTGGGTTCAAACCAGGCTGCTGCGGAGTCCTTAAGGTACGAGAGTGCAAAATTTACCTTTCAGTCATCCATTGCGAAAGCAGCCGGTCGGTCCCAAAAGTTGAATTGACATTGCATAAGAAATGTCGGCAATTTCTTCGGGTTTGAACCGGTGAACGGTTCAGGTTTGTTGACTCGGGTTTGTCCAGGTTCTTTTTCCTTGGTATTGTTTTTAAGGAATTCATTAAGGGATCCTAGGGTACCTGAGAACAATTCCCATGTCTCATCGGGGTCAAGAACTGGTTTTTGTTTTGCGGACTTCTTAGAACCACTGGCCTGAGGTACAGGTTGGTTGCCATCCTTGGGGTCAGGTTCCAGAGCTGATTGATTGTTATCCCTTTCGGGTGCTTTGGGTTTGGTTGCTTCAGTAACTTCTTCAACATCACTGGTAATTTCCACAAAGCGGGATTCTTCAGAGGTTTCTGGTTGCAGAGTTCTCAGAGTAGCTCGGGCTGTATACAAGAAAGGAGAATTGAGAGTGGAAGATTCTGCTTCGCCACTTGGCTTGGCATCTCTTTTCCTTGGGGGCATGATTAATGGAAAGTGCCAGTGTGAAATCAGAATATACTGTTAAGAACTGGAAACTGACTATTGTCGGTTGGCCGACAGGTACCGATCGGAAGGACTTGGCTTCAGCTTATGTGCTGTGCCCTTGCAACTATCTGTCGGGTGTCCTTAAATTTTGGGCGGGTGAAGACTAGTCCTAACGAATACCTCTCGGCGAGTTGCCGATCGGAACCAAAGGATGAGTCGAGTGTCAGGCCAAGGGGTCAGGGACCAAGAGTGGGCAAGCGCATGCAAAGGCGGATAGCGGGATGCTTAGTATGAGACTACTGGAGGTATAAGAGGGTATTCTGAGTTGATATTCTGATTGCCTAGTAACTACAACTACTGCGGGTTCATATAGAAATATTCGGCATCTAGAAAATACTAACTAGGGAAGAGTGGAATCAGTATTGACAATAAGCTTGACTAGGAATGGGAAGGTTATGATTAGTTCAGAGGCCATGGAATAACCAAAAGTGGAATTACGAGAAAAGAAAATAGTCTGAGGGTTACAAGTATATATAGACATACGTGAAACATAGAGTGAAACAGATCAACATAGTAAAAAGGGGACATATCAGAGTTTAACCAGATAGTACAAGTATATTTGACAGGGGCGTAAATGGAGTTTGATCACCACGAAGGCATACATCATCATCAGAAGACCAATAGTTTCCGATGTGATGACTTGAACGATGACTTGAAACGTTAGCTTGAAACGTTGATAGGCAGCAATAACCTCGGGGGCCGTCAGGTTGCAACACGGTCGTAACAAAGGCCAAGGGAGGTCATACCAAGTACTAGAATTACAATTACTATATTTTTAATATACACTCACAAAATTGTCCCAATGAGTTATTATATTAAATTGCATATATCTCAATGAATATTGATGGAAATTACATAATTCTTTTTTTGTGCTATAACCATGATCAAACACTATGTTTGATACACCAACACTTTGCTTATATCTGTTATACTCTCAGGTTATTCATCAAACAATCAAAAAGTGTAAAACATTGGGACAATTTTGTGAGTCACTGTATGTACTTGTGGATGAACATGCCACAAGTTAACTGTGAGCCCAAAAGAATTTGAAGAACTACCAAAGAGTATTAGATTATGTAATACCAACCACTGTTCCATCACTCTGAGTTCAGTGTGTATATAATCTAATAGGAAAGGCACTTGAGGTTACATCCTTAAGTACAGTGTGAGGCCAGACCTACACAAGGTCAGGTGGTGTAGTGGCAACACCCTTGCTATATATGCAAAAGATTGTGGGTTCAATTTCCAGTCTGGACATTCATTTTCTACATTTTATCAAAGAGATCTATGGAAATAGTGCCCATGTCGAGGAAAGATTTTAAGATAACGAGTAGGCCGAAACGTACAATCGATCATCCAAACGTTGCAATGATTTTGTCAATTGTGTAACTAACTAACCACCAATAGTTGTGGACCAGACTCGTTCATATATTCATCGACTGCCACGTAATAATTATACAAAATAATATAGGTCAGCCAAACATTTTCGCAAAGCGACAAAACAGCCCATGCAATAACACATGATATAAATACACATCGACCGGAATGCCCCAAAGCCGCACACATCAGTTTTCGAAAGGCGAGTCGGTAATAGGCTCTATACGTGATATCGGTCGTCTCGGCAACGCAGGAGCACCCGGCGCCCCCAGGGTCAAGTTCACAGTAGAAACCGGCGCCGAAGACGATATACTACCAGTGGCAGAATGCATGGGCACCGTCCCACCGGCCCCTGTCGTAATCCGACGCGCAGGCGGCGGCGGCGGCGCCTTTTTCACCGACTGTCTACGCTGCGGCAACGCAGGCGGCTGCTTCGGCGGCGAAACGGCATCAAGCGCCCCGTTGCCCGCCATGTTGCCGATCTCCATGCCCTGGGGGCTGGTCGCCGTGGGCAGCGCAGGCGAGCCAGCCGCCGGGTCAAACAGCCCCCGTTTTTCGTCGTCCTCGTCCTCCGTGGCGGGATCGTAGTGCTCGTGGTGGATGCTCATGGGGCTCTTGGCAAAGTGATGGTCGCCAAACGGCTCGTCGTAGACCCGGACGGCGACATGGGGATCAAACATGTCCTGGGACAGGATCGACGCGCCATCCTCAGACGTGATGTCCATCTCAGCACGCCGCGCGATCTCGGTCAATGTCCGTTGCGGCGGGACAGGGACAGGCGGCGGTATCCGAGACCGCTGCGACGCATTCACGGACGAGCTCGGCGCAGAAACCGACGTAAACGAGGAGCCGGAAGACGACGACTGCGACGGGATAGGTTTCTGCGAAAGGACCTTGCCCAAACTCAACGATCCAAACGACGACCCAAACGCCTGGCGCTGCGTCTCCTCCTCCAAACCCTCCTCGGCACCGGCACGGCGCGCGCGAAGGTCGCCGCCATCCTCGCTCCCGTCGCTCGCATTCTCCAGGCTCGCAAACGCGCGCGACGCACTCTTGTCCTTGTCCTTCTTCGCCTCCTTCTTCCCCAGCCCGGGCACCGACAGCGACGAGACGGCGCTGGATGCCCAGCTCGCCACCCCCGAGCGCTTGGTGCCTTCCGACCCGACGCTGTCGCCGCGCCGCCGGCTGTATTGTGCGGTTCCCGCCGATCCCACGGAGCCGCGGGAGCTTGGACGGGGCGTGTTGACCGGGGACGCACGCCGCCTCACTGTTGTCCCGAATTCGTCGGCGTCGGCGTCGCTGTCCAGCGAGGCACGCCCCCGGCTGCTTGCGGCGGAGCCAGAGCGGACAGGCGTGGATGTCCTCGATGTCGATGAGATGGAGGGCGCCGGCCGGCCGAATGCGAATGCGTAGGGAGTTAGTTTGGGTTGTGAGACGTCCGGGCGCTGGATATTGGACCTGGGCGAGGGTTGTTAGGACAATGTAGAGTGGATGACAAGGGGACATACTCGTCTAGCCACTCATCCTGTGTATCCTTTAACACGTCTAGATAGCGGGAGACGTATTGGATTTCGTTGGCCAGAAGATCGGTCAGATCACGCAGTTGTTCAATTTCGTTCTCTTGGATCAGTCGCACGCGGGCTTGGACATCCGTGGAGGTTTCTTCACTGGAGTAACAGCGTCAGATACAAGTTTATGGCACAATTAGGCAACTCACTAGCGGAGTTTAGCCTTGTTCAGCTCTTCATCTGCCTCCTTGACTTCCTTTTCCTTCTTAGCCTTATTTGCCTTTGTCACTGCCGCGTCATACGCCAATCTGTCATAATACAGTTAGTAGCCTGCCTGTTGAGAAGAAACGATCCACTACCTGCGGGAATCCAACTTCTTTCGCTGCGTGGAGTAGTCGTCTAGTTCCTCCAACGAGCGAGCAAGACTGGCGAGGTAGGTGTCTCTGAAAGTCTGTGAAAAGCTCTCTTGAAGTGTCGCGATCTTGCAATGTGCACGCCCGAATCTAATCAAACATTGGCCTGATATACGGTGAGTGCACGAGCACACGGACCAGCGATGTGGGTGTACTGACCAAAAGCAGAGTCGTCTCCGAAATCCTCGCCGTGTGACATCATGACTGCTCCCAGAGCATCCACGGCAAGCATCTTGACCCCTTCCTCTACATCAGGATATTCCTTCTTCTTATGCAGGTATCCGTGGTATTCGCCAGATGCGGTATAGAGTCTAGAGCAACCAGTCAACCAACCCCGCACAGAACCCAGCTAAGCGCGTCACACACCTTTGAATGCCAGTCCTCCTGAGCTCAACATCTTGCTCTACTTGCTTAAATTCCTCAGTGAGAACAGTCTTGTCCTTGGACGAAATAACCTCTCTGCCCCACTAGTTCCTGTCCGGTTAAGACGGATCGTTATATTTATCAAATTCAGCCTCTGCCTACCTGCCGAAGCTTCCCAAGCTGCCAAATTTCATGTCATCATCAGACGGACTCGCTTCCAAGTTTAAGGAAGGGACTCCTACCTGCTTGCTGGCCATTTCTAATACTTGAACTGTGGTTGGGGATGAGAGATACGGCCTCAGTAAATCACCTCAAGAATGGCCTGATTCCTAGCGGAAGACGCCCATATTTGGCTTAGTCAGCATGGCCCCTTAAATTTTTTTTTGTCTTTAAAAAAAAAAAGACAAGAGATAAGGATCAGGCGTAGATCATCTGACAAAAGATAGCAACCGGCTCATGCTTCCCAGACTGATGTGATTTCTCTTTGCACCACACATGCAGCGGGGCCAAGGTTAAATCCAATGTTGCTTATACTAAACTCGCCCCATCTTATTTTTATATCGTTGTGGGATGTTCGATTTTCTGTTAATTTTTATTTGCTGATATGCTTCGGAGAATAAATTAAATAATGACATAATTTACATTATCTCCTCTCTGCTGTCTCAGAGACTTACAACTCAAATGTGTCTGAAGACGAGTTCAGTGGCTGACAACGACAGCCCGCACTGATCTGTGGATGGATGCCATGGCTGTGGGGTGTGATGGCTCACAGGATGGGCGCCTAGCCCGAAAATGGTGCCAAAGCGGAAATGAGACATTCAGGACTAGGCTGACCTTGAGCCAGATTCATGATTCATGACTGGGACGATCAATGATCAATCGATCGCGTGATGGCGTTCAAAGTCATGATGTGTGTCATGTGACGTATCAACTGTGGACATTGTGAAGAAGAGAAAATGAACATTCTTGGCAAAGAACATAGATGGGCACAGCACTACCCATGAGGTGCTAGTTACAGGACTATATGACCAAGAGTGACGCGGCGGCCGTGAAAGATGCAAAAGAGAAAAGCAAGAGAAAATGAAATAATTGTCGTGGAGAGATCCGGTGAACACAAATTGAGACATAAATATGAGTGAGGAAAGACGATGGATAGAAGCATGCTTATAATATGCAGGTCTTCTGCCCTATCACAACACTAGACACGGACGTATAGCTACATTGACGGTAGGAATAGGTAATTCGCCATATATGGATCCTACCTATCGCAAGATTAACTCTTCTCTTCCCCTCGCCAGCGCTCAGAGGATTCGCCGTGTCCTGCGTGCCCGCCACCACGCTCTGGGCCAAATTCGTTTTAAATCCCCACACGTACGTCCCTGAGACCTCATCTCTTCCCTCATCACCAGCACCCTACCCAAATTGCTCACGCAATGTATTTTCTTATCTCCATCGGCATTAACATCGTAAAGTGGGGAGCTATCCTGGCTGCATTGGCGGCCACGGGATGTGCCATCGCTGCGGTCGCAGTCCTGGCTGCATTGGCAGCCGCGGGGTGTGCCATGGTCGGGGGCGCAGTCGTTGTACCGGTGTTAGGTCTTTTAGGATTCAGTAGCGGTGGTGTAGTAGCAGGTAGGCAGTCCAATATTGACAGCTTAGGAAGTGGCACCCCTTATCATTGTGGTCGTAAATCTCTAGAGAGTACTGCGGCAGCCATCCAAAGCTGTTTCTATGGGGGTAGAATCGCCTCGGGATCCCTTTTTGCGATCGCTCAAAGTCTTTCGGCTACTGCATGATAATTTGGTGCCACTCAGGTCGCTAGGAATGTCCGACTTGGTGCTGCAAGTGTAGTAGTCGCGTGTCATGTAGACAGCGAGATGACGGGGAAAGTGGCGGCAAGGAGTCGAGAGAAACTGTTTCAAACACAAACCATTTGTATATTCTTGCCTCTAGTGATATGTAACCTGATCAAGAAAATTCCAGGTGAGCCTTATAACTGAAAAAAAAAATGAACAACACAGATAGATACGACGTCCTTTGAGAGCAGAAGTCGGATACCATGCTTTTCTACAAATTAGGTACTACGGCACGACACGGTGAACGGCTGTGACAGGGGAATGAATTAAACTTGCCAGCATGCAAGAATGTTCTAGTGGCTAATAAAAACTCCTTAAGTATCTGTGCGACATCCGTGGAGAATACCGGGTTGCTCTTTGTTCCGAGTCAGGTATGCTTGCAAGGTCAATACCTAGTGAACAAAATTAACAAAGCTCTGAATTGGGAGTTTTGTGAAATACTAGTAATATAGGAGTTTTGACGTTATAAGTGCAGTGCATTGCAATGATCGAAAGACTATAATATGTCGCGGATAAAAGTACAGCCGCTCTAGAAACGCCACAGGAACACGAAGACTCCAAGCGCTCCATCCACCACCGCTTGCTCTCTACATTTCAGGTTCAAATTAAAGTTAAAATATGGCACTGTCGCAGCGCATGTGCATTTGCTATCTTGCTATGTTAATATTCTGAAACATCCTGTCAAGAGAACCCCTTGAGGTGAAAAAAATAGAGAAGAACCCATGATTCCAATCCACGCC